TATCTATCTATCTATCTATCTATCTATCTATCTATCTATCTATCTATTTTTCTATCTATCCCTCTCTCTCTCTAGTCTGTCTGCCTCTTATGTTCTATCTATTCGTCCATCTATATTTCCTTCCTTCCTTCCTTCCTTCCTTCCTTCCTTCCTTCCTTCCTTCCATCCATCCATCCATCTATCTATCCCTCCCCCTCTCTCTCTGTCTCTTCCCCTTCCCTCCCTGGTGATGCAGTGGTTGTAATGCGGTATTGCAGGCAAGTCGACTCGGCCTTCCCTCCTTCCGAGGTGGGTAAAACGAGGACCCAGATGGTTGGGGGCAAAGAGGCTGACTCTGTAAACCGCTTAGAGGGGGCTGCACAGCCCCACGAAGCCCTATATAAGTCTAAGGGCTATCGCTACTGAAGGCGCTCGATCGCCGAAATACTCGGGGGGATCCGATCTAGCCCCATGGTTATAGCGGCGTCTCCCCCAGAGCCTGGCTGCCGAACGACTGCGTCTGAATCCTAGCGTTGTGGGTTGCAAAATCCATACATCCCCCTGAGACTGGCTGTTGTTCACATGACCTAGTTAATCCTGCCCAAGTCCCGCTGAGCTTTGAATGAGCAGCGCTGGGGATGATCCAACTTAATGTGTCCTGCAGCGTTTCCTGTCTACGCCAAGCCCTGCAAATCCTTTCAATGTATTTACACGTAGCATATTTTGTAAATCTTTTGTTTGTTTGTTTTTAACATATTTGTTATATATTACAAGCTATAGGCCGGGCGCTTAACAGTTACTCTCTTTTCAATATTTTGTGATAGTTTATTATCTTTCCAAAGTACATTAATCTTATCTTTTTTGAAAAAACAAAAACCCACCCCAAAGTAAATTATCTTTTCAGATATTAATCTGAGGTATTAATATTTTCCCATGAAATATGATGTAATAGCCACGTGGTTATGTAACTGCAGGATCCAATGATTTGTTTCTGTCATTTTCCATTCTTCATGACTAGACAGTGGTGCGATTCAACCTTTTTTGAGCTACCCGTTCTGTGGGCGTGGCTTGGTGGGCGTGGCAGGAGAAGGATACTGCAAAATCCCCCTTCCCTCCCCACCCCACCAGCCTGCTTTCCAGCTCCGTTCTCCTGTGCAGGGCAACCAAAGAAGACCCAGCCAATCAGCTGGGATTAAATGGGAGGCGGAGAAGAGATGGGGTTGGCGGGGCTAGTCAGAGGTGGGATTGGCCGGTTCTCCGAACGACTCACAATTTCTGCTACCGGTTCTCCAGAACCGGTAGCAGGGTCAGTGCCAGAACAGAGCGGGTGGGATGTGGAGGGAATTGGCCCTTTGCCTGTTTGTCTGTGCCAAGATAAGAGCCGGCCGTGGCTGATTCTACTTCTCCCTTATTGAGATGGCTGGGTTTGACACGTATCCCTCAAAGTAGGCCAACTCTTTCCAACCCGTAGCTCAAAATGGGACCACGGGGACACGCAAGCCACTTTCTTTGAGAACTTCTTGGGTGTTCACTCATTCATGGATTCCTTCTCCTTCTTCCTTCCAGATATCCAGCGATTCTCCATGCACCAGTCGGCCCCGTCCTTACGCAGCCTCCAGACCATCCACGAAGAGCCCCTCGCCGCCAACAAGAACCAGCCTTCCAGTTTCCACTTCCTTCTGCCCGCCTGCCCCGTCAGGGCCCCCAAAGAAGACCCCGGGCCTCGTCCTTCCCAGGAAGCTGTTCCAGACGGAAGGGAACGCTTTGAGAGGACTTCTTGTTTGGAGCACCGGACGGTTTCGGAGAGGACGCTTCTCGCGCCCAGCGTCTCGGGAGAGGAAGGCGGGATGGGAAGCAAGAAAGAAGGAGAAGGTCGGACAAGGGCTCCTTGCCACGGAGGCCTTCTCCGCCCTCAAGTACAGCACCACCTCGTGTCAGACAATTGTGAGCTCCACCCGGCCGGAGATGGCCAGAAGAAGACGGACAGGTTAGTTCAATGGCTGACAAGCGATGAGAAGAGCAGAGTTGGACCACCAAACCAAAGTGAAAGGGACAACAGCACCACGCCAACTCCACTTCGCGCAACTCCCAAAGGAACCGTCGCAATCCCCGTGCCTCCGACTGTTGCGAGGAGACCGAGGGATGAAGGATACAAGCGGTGCAACCACGGAGTCTCCATGAAGCCTCCTGAGAACTGTTCTCCTACCCCGGAAGTTTATTGGGACGCCACGGTCCATGACCGCATCTGGAGCAAGCTTGATTTCAGCACCCACCAGGACAACATGTCCTCCTCTTCCAGCATGTCTTCCAATGACACCGTCATCGACCTCTCCTTGCCCAACCTTGCCCGGAAGAGCCTTCCCGACCTTGGCGCTCAGAACGCCACCCCCCAGAGAAGAACCGCCAGGCCCTGGTCCGCCAACGCGGCCTCTGGGCGCGAAGGCCCCACAGTGACCAAGAGCAAATCCAACCCCAACTTGAGGTTGGATCAACCCCCGGAAGACGACTGGCGCCCAAGGCCTCTCAGCTTCTCCTCGGCGTCCAGAAGACACACCTGGAACCGGTTGTACGTGGAGAGCCTCAAGAGGTCATGCCTGAAGCCCGAAGAGCTGAAGAACCCCGATGCCAACCCCGTGAAGTCCAAAAGCCTCGGGGACCTCACCTCGGACGACATCCGGCCCACTTCGGAGAGCAAGTACCGGAGCATCAGCCGCAGTTTCGCCACCCGTTCGGTGAGGGCCGCCGGCCATCGTGGGGCCTTCAAGACTCCGGGAAGTTCTCCAGATGAACTGACGGAGCGCCTGAAGAAGCTCACCTTCTTCCAGCAGCAGGACGACATCACTTCTCCCACCTGCCTGGAACGTCCCAACGCCGGGGAGGAAGAGGAAGGTGAAGAAGAGGAGGAGGAGGAGGAAGAGGAAGAAGAGACCATCCTGATCCGGAGGTCTTCTTCACGGAGCCAGAGCAGGGTGAGATACATCGCCAACCGGGCCAGGCAAGCTCAGGAGAGGCAGAAGCTCAAAAGTTTGGCCCTGAGCATTGAGGAGCGGGGCATCCCCGAAGGAGCCTGCTGCTTTCCGGGGGGGCCCTACACGGACCCGGCTTCCCCTGCCTTGTTTACACCCCAACTCAAGAACCCGGCAGACTTGAATCCCGAGGCCGAAGGCGTCTTCACCTTCAGGCTCTGACAGTGGGAAGGGCTGAACCAGAAATCGATGTTTACATTGCTGTCGGAGCAAAACCAACCGTCCCCCTTTCCCTGGTTTTCTTAAAATACACATGCGTATACGTGTGTGTGTGTGTGTGTGTGTGTGTGTGTGCCTAGTGAAGAAAACCCTCGTTCAATGAGGGAGGACACTCCACCTCCCCTCCTCCTCCTCCTCCTCTTCCTCCTCCCCTCCTCCTCCCCCCCTCCTCCTCCTCCTCCCTTCTGGCACTGATGATGTTCCTTAATTGAGTCATGAAACGTCTGCAAGAAAGAGAGCACCAAGGACCCCACAGTCCTCCTCCTCCTCCTCTCCACCTCCTCCTCCTCCTCCTCTTCTCCTCCTCCTTGTAAAGTCCACTCCCTTCTGGCACTGATGATGTTCCTTAATTGAGTCATGAAACGTCTGCAAGAAAACCACCAAGCTCAGAGAGCACCAAGGACCCCACAGTCCTCCTCCTCCTCCTCCTCCTCCTCCTCCAATGGACTACTCTTATGTTTGTGAGAAACTGTAATAATAACAACGATAATGCAGCCTGTAGCATGCATCACGGGGAGTGGGCAACTCCGATTTTCCCAGGGTGAGAAGGTTCCTCCCTTCTCCGCGTTCCCTGGGAAGCACGTCCCAAAGGGCTGCACGATTGTCCCGTTTCTTCCTCTCTCTCTCTCTTTTTTTTCCTTTTTTATCGACTGCTTTCCTCCATGCCCCCTCTCCCCCAGCCCCGGGGCAGACCACCCAAACAGTTGGCTCAGCCATCCGTTGCGGCCTTAGCTTAATTCATGCCCAGGAGGGCCAAGGGGCAAGGACCACGCCCGAAATCCTCCCTGAGTTCCTCTCCTTGTCTCTAATCCCCACGGCTGGCTTCTATCCTTGGCCGTTTGCAAGGTTTCGAACCAGCAGCATGAGAACCTGGGAGACATTTTTAGAAGCTGTATGCCAGAGGGCATGGTTCTCGGTTTCTCTAGATATTAGGAAGGAAGGAAGGAAGGAAGGAAGGAAGGAAGGAAGGAAGGAAGGAAAGACTATTGCCAGCTTAAGTATTAGGAGGAGGAAGGAAGAGAAAAAAAGAAAAGGAAAGAGAAAGAAAGAAAGAAAGAAAGAGAAAGAAAGAAAGAAAGAAAGAAAGAAAGAAAGAAAGAAAGAAAGAAAGAAAGAAAGAAAGAAAGAAAGAAAGAAAGAAAGAAAGAAAGAGGAAGGAAGGAAGGAAATTATCCCTCCCTTAAAAAAAAGACTGTCACCCACTTGGTTTCTCTATGTGTTAGGAGGAAGGAAGGAAGAGGAAGGAAGGAAAGAAGAAGGAAAGAAGGAAGGAAGGAAGGAAGGAAGGAAGGAAGGAAGGAA